CTGCCCCGCCTCCATCGTCGGCGGCCTCATCGGGAGCTCCGGCTCCATCGTCTCGCAGCTCCGCCGAGAGACCGGCTGCAAAATCCACTGCGAGGACTCCGTCGCCGCCACCGAGGACCGCGTCATCCTCGTCATCGGATCGCTCTCGCCGCGCAAGGGCCTCCAACTCGGCGACGGCGAAGTTGACGTCTCCAACGCGCAGGAAGCCGTCGTTAGGGTTTTCGAGAGGGTTTGGGAGCTCGAGGCCGAGAAAGGCGTTAACTCTAACAGACCCGTTAACGGCGAGGTTTTTTCCAAGTTGCTCGCGCACACTTCGCAGATTGGCGCTGTTGTTGGCAAAGGAGGGAAGAACATAACCGCTATTAGGAACAGCAGCGGTGCCAAAATTAGGGTTTGCCCTCCTCCGCATTGCGCTACTAAAGACGAGGAGTTAGTTCAAGTAAGTTTTGTTTTATTAGAAATTACAATGAAAGCGTGTTTTTATCGGTCAACGCCTTCTTTTTCATGATTTTGTAATGAAAATCATGTTACAATGCGTGTGTGTGAATGAATTGGGATTTCTATTTCTATTTGAGGTTTTAGGGAAGTGACGCCTTGTGCAAAATTGAGTAGATTTAATCTGATCCGTCACTATGTCCAATGTCAATACTGAATACACTTTCCTAGTAGTGCAAATTGTGATCATTTCATTTTTCCTTTAATTGGGAAAGCTTCTTTGTTTTGTTTCTCAATCCGAAATTGTGAGGGAACACGTCTTTTCTGTATACACGATTAAGGTATGTCTCTAATTTGTGCATATAATGTTGGGTCCTACAGCCTATTGAATGCTTTTAATTACTTAAAAAAAAGTATAAGATGATATTTATTATATTTCTGATGTAATAAATATCTTCCATTAATACTTTCTACTTTTTTTTTATTTATTTATTCGGTGTTAGCATTTGACTATATTTGTACCGGGAAATCAAATTGCCGACAAAGGAATATAGCTATAATAGATCCTAGTTTCATGTTTGGAGATTTCTTTTCACGAACTTTCAAAATGACACATTCACTTGCCACTGAGAAATGGTTATTTGAAATTATTTTTCTTTATCTGGGAACTTGTTTGATTGACAGATAACTGGTGAAGTTTTGGCTGTGAAGAAAGCGCTGATTGCTGTATCTCATTGTCTTCAAGATTGTCCGCCATTATGCAAAGTTCCAGTTTCTTCTAGTACACCAACTGTTAGTTCTTCTGATTGGTCGTCCTCTGATCCCAATGCTGAACTTTTTCCTCACCTTAACTCATTGTTAACCTCCATGGAAGGTTTATCTATGTATGAACGGACCACAAACTCTAATGAAACCTCTGCCCATGACTCCAAAGGTGCAGAACATGAAGTTGTGTTCAGACTCCTTTGCTCCAATAATGTAGCTGGGAGCGTGATTGGCAAAAGAGGGGCTATAGTCAGAGCTCTGGAAAGCAAAACAGGTGCTTCTATTATCTTTGCAGCTCCTTTAAGCGAGTTTGCTGAGCGCATTGTCACCATTTCTGCTGTAGAGGTCAGTCATATGAGAATGTTGCACTATGTCATGACCGACTCGTGCTTATAGTATTTTCAGCTTTTTTTTGTTCCCTTTTTCATGTGCATATGTTCATGCAACGACATATAATCATGCATTTAATAGATCTGCTTGAAAACACATTTTGGATTGTTATGATTTTTATTGTTGATTTAGCACCGGCTTTTGTTCATCCAGAACCTTGAATCTTGTTATTCTCCTGCACAAGATGCTGTTATTCATGTCTTTGCTAGAATTATTGAAGATCACATAGGAAAGGGTTTTCTCCCAGTCTCTAGTATGGAATCACCTGTAACTGCAAGACTTTTAGTTGCAACAAGCACAGTAAATTGCTTGAGTGGCAATGAAGGTCAGGGGATTTCAGAATTGAGGGAAGTAACAGGAGCTGATATACAAATTTTGCATGGAGAGCCCGTTCCTAATGGTGCCTCAGATGATGATGTGGTGGTGCAGGTACACTTGTTAATTTTATATAATTCAAGTTAACTTTTTTAAAGGATCTTGAGGATTTTAAATTTATTTGATGCCACAAGCTTCTGTAACTTTTTAGACCCTGATTTTATTGCCATATGTTGATGTCTTTTCATTTAAAAATAAAAATGAAAACTTTAATCTGTAGCAAAATTTTCAATTTAAAATTCTCTAATATCAAAGACAGAGCAAATATACTTGGCTAGTAGCTCTGCTTGACTTATGCAAAGGTATTTCAATAAAATATGTGGAAAATATCTACTACTTTCAACAAAAACAGTACTCCTGTGTATCACTGTATTGTGTTTATACTTAATTGCAGTATCTTTCTAATCCTTGTTCTATCTGCTTAGTGATTGCCTGATTGGTGTAGTTTGATGCTTTTGTGTACTGACATAAGTTAACTGATAACAATTATGTTTTTTTTGTTGCACTGGGTTGAGGCATTTGAGCACTTATAATAGACTGAGTTTCTTGTTGTTGCTCCAACAATCTATTGTTACTGTCTCCTAGCCAAGTTGATACTTGAGAGATTTCATGCAGATCACTGGAGGGTACAGATGTGTACAGAATGCCCTATATAAAGTTACTTGTAGAATCAGGGATAATCATTTGCCCAATGAAGCGGTTGCTGAAGCAAGACCGAAATCCAATTGGAAAGTGAATAAGGATCCTGTAAAGGGTAAACCTTTTGCCCGTGGAAAATCTGCTTTTCCTTCTGGGAGGTTTTTGCCACGGGTATTTTTCACCTCCTTTGTGTTTATTTCCTTCCAATTTTTATTATCACTCTTCTAATTCTTCCAAAGTTCACAGGGATGAGATTGAGTAAGAGTTTGTATATTTGCAGAATGCAGGGGTGAATGCTGAAACAATATCACAAAATGGAGAATTACATACGGATTTAAGTGAGAATTTGGAACGTGGGAGGTTAGTATAATGCCGCATGGACTACAAGTGTCTTTGGTGTCATTCTTCACCTTTTCCTTTTTCTTGTTTCTGTCTTGGGTAAAGTTAGGCTTTTGATATACAGTAGAAGTTTGTTTCTTGTCCTAAAAATTCTCTTTAGAGAGCTGTTGTGTTATTTGTGATAGTGATCTTGGTGTTTAGATTTTAATCTTATATGGGACTGGGGACAGAAATGAAGCCGATGAATGTATCAACAATAAGTCTTGAAGTAGAGTAAGGGGGTCGTATGATTAATGATTTTGTTTTCCAATTTTCATTGAATTAAAAAAGATTTAAATAGATTGCATTATCATATGAATATTCAATTAGTAAAATCTTTGATTCCTAATTGTTTGATGTTATATTAACAAGTCAGTAAAATGAGTAACATAGTGCTTGATAGACAAAATATTTCATTTTGTTAAGATATCTTCTGGCTTCTGATCTTTCTCTCAATCTTTTTCCTTAATAAAATCCTTTGGCAGGGGAAACATGTTTGCTACAGTTACAAATACTACTGTGGAGATTGTAGTTTCTGAACATGTCTTTGGTTCTGTTTATGGTGAAGACGGTGGCAATTTGGATCGAATCAGACAGGTGCTTAGTCTTGTCTGTTATTATACTAGTATCACTCTTCTATTTAGCCTGTTTCTCAATGTTTCTAGATTGCTGAAATGTTTTTACAATGATGTTGGTATTTATGAATATGGTGTTGTGGAAACAGATTTCAGGTGCAAGTGTTACGGTTTATGATCCCTCCGCTGGTTCAAGTGGAGGAAAAGTTGTCATATCTGGGACACCTGATCAAACCTTTGCAGCACAGAGCTTGCTACAAGCCTTTATTCAAACTGGACACGTAAGCTGACAGAAAGCTGCATTTCATCATCAGTTGGTGCCATGAATGGTGTACATAGATATGTCACACGACAACCCTCACCTTGTGAATATGGATTCACTATTTTCCTTTATGATGCTTACCACTTAATCTTATAGACTATAAAGATTTTGTTCTCTTTCC